TGTGATTTTTGCAAACCGATTTTCTATCCTGAGACTTTGCTGAAGTTGCTTATGAGCGTGACGAGATTTTGGGCTGAGATGATGGGTTTTTCTAAATATACAATCATGTCATCTGCAAACAGAATTTGACTTCCTCTCTTCTTATTTGAATGCCCTTTCTTTCTTTCTCTTGCCTGACTGTCCTGGCCAGAACTTCCAATACAATGTTGAATAGGAGTGGTGAGAGAGGGCATCCTTGTATTATGCTGGTTTTCAAAGGGGATGCTTCCAGCTTTTGCCCATTCAGTATGATATTGGCTGTGGTCTTCCCATAAGTAGCTCTTATTTTGAGATACGTACCATCAATACCTAATTTATTGAGAGTTTTTAGCATGAAGGGGTGTTGAATTTTATCAAAGGCCTTTTCTGCATCTATTAAGATAATCTGGTTTTTGTCATTCATTCTGTTTATGTGATGCATTACATTTATTGATTTGCATCTGTTGAACCAGTCTTGCATCCCAGGGATGAAGCCAACTTGATTGTGGTGAATATGCTTTTTGAGGTGCTGCTGGACTCAGTTTTCCAGTATTTTATTGAGGGATTTTGCATCAATGTTCATCAGAGATATTGGTCTGAAATTTTCTTTTTTTGTTGTGTCTCTGCCAGGTTTTGGTATCAGGATGATGCTGGCCTCATAAAATGAGTTAGGGAGGATTCCTTCTTTGTCTATTGTTTGGAATAGTTTCAGAAGGAATGGTAGCAGCTCTCTTTGTACCTCTGGTAGAATTTGACTGTGAATCAGTCTGGTCCTCGGCTTTTTTTTGTTGGTAGACTATTAACTACTGCCTCAATTTCAGAACTTGTTATTGGTCTATTCAGGTATTTGACTTCTTCCTGGTTTAGTCTTGGGAGGGTGTAGGTGTCCAGGACTTTATCCATTTCCTCTAGATTTTCTAGTTTATTTGCACAGAGGTGTTTCTAGTTTATTTGCATAGTGGTGGTATTTTTGTGAGATCAGTGGTGATATCCCTCATCATTTTTTATGGTGTTTACTTGATTCTTCTCTCTTTTCTTCCCCATTAGTCTGGTGAGTGGTCCATTTCATTAATCTTTTTTAAGAAAAAAAACAGCTCCTGGATTTGATGATTTTTTGGAAGGGTTTTTCATGTCTCTATCTCCTTCAGTTCTGCTCTGATCTTAGTTATTTCTTCTCTTCCGCTAGCTTTTGAATTTGTTTGTTCTTGCTTCTCTAGTTCTTTTAATTGTGATGTTAGGGTGTCCATTTTAGATCTTTCCCACTTTCTCCTGAGGGCATTTTAGTGCTATAAATTTCCCTCAAAATTTCACATATTCCTGGAGGCTCTGTTCAGTCCGTTTCATTCTTTTTTCTCTAATCTTGTCTTTACGCTTTATTTCATTAAGTTGATCTTCAATCTCTGATATCCTTTCTGCTTGATCGATTCAGCTATTGATACCTATATATGCTTCACGAAGTTTTCACACTGCATTTTTCAGCTTCATCAGGTCATTTATGTTCTGTTCTAAACTGATTATGCTGGTTAGCAATTCCTCTAGTCTTTTTTCAAGGTTCTTAGCTTCCTTGCATTGGGTTAGAACATGCTACTTTAGCTCAGAGGAGTTTGCTATTACCCACTTTCTGAAGCCTACTTCTGTCAGTTTGTCAAACTTACTCTCAGTCCAGTTTTGTTCCCTTGCTGGCAAGGAGCTGTAATCCTATGGAGGAGAAGAGGCATTCTGGTGTTTGGAATTTTCAGTCTTTTTGCGCTGGTTTTTCCTCATTTTTGTGGATTTATCTACCTTTGGTCTTTGATACTGGTGACCTTCAGAGGGGTGACATCCATTTTGTTGATGCTGATGCTACCCCTTTCTGTTTGTTAGTTTTCCCTTTAACAGGGCCCCTCTGCTGCAGATCTGCTGGAGTTTGCCTGGGTATCACCAGCAGATGCTGCAGAACAGCAAAGATTGTTGCCTGTTCTTTCCTCTGGAAGCTTTGTCCCCCCGGGAGCCAGCTGGAGCTCTCCTGTATGACGTGTCTGTTGATCCCTGCTGGGAGGTAAGGAGGCACGAGGGTCCAGGACCCACTTGAGGAGGCAGTCTGTCCCTTAGCAGAGCTCAAGTGCTGCACTGGGAGATCTCCTGCTCTCTTCAGATCTGGCAGGAAAGAATGTTTAAGTGCACAGCCACCCCTTCCTCAAGGTGCTCTCTCCCAAGGAGATGGGAGTTTCATATATAACACTCTGACTGGGCCTGCTGCCTTTCTTTCAAAGATGCCCTGCCCAGAGAGGAGGAATCCAGAGAGAGGCAATCTGGCTACAGCAGCTTTGCTGAGCTGCAGTGGGCTCCGCCCAGTTCAAACTTCCAGGCATCTTTGTTTACACTGTGAGTGGAAAACCCAGCTACTCAAGCCTCAGTAATGGCAGACGCCCCTCCCCCAACCAAGCTCGAATGTCCCATGTTGACTTCGGACTGCTGTGCTGGCAGCAAGAATTTCAAGCCAGTGGATCTTAGCTTGCTGGGCTCTATGGGGGTGGGATCTGCTGAGCCAGACCACTTGGCTCCCTGGTTTCAGCCCCTTTTCCAGGGGAGTGAATAGTTCTCTCTTTCTGGTGTTCTAGGCACCACTGGGATATGAAAAAAAAAACTCCTGCAGCTAGCTCAGTGTCTACCCAAATGGCCAGCCAGTTTTGTGCTTGAAACCCAGGGCTCTGGTGGTGTAGGCATCTGAGGGACTCTCCTGGTCTGCAGGTTGTGAAGACTATAAGAAAAGCATAGTTATCTGGGCTGGAATGCATTGTTCCTCAAAGCATAGTCCCTCATTGGCTTCCCTTGGCTAGGGGAGGGAGTTCCACACACAATCCCTTGCACTTCCTGGGTGAGGCAATGCCTCACCTTTCTTTGGCTCACCCTTTGTGGGCTGTATCCACTGTCTAGCCAGTCCCAATGAGATGAGCTAGGCACCTCAGTTGGAAATGCAGAAATCACCCACCTTCTGCATTGATCTCATTGGAAGCTGCAGACCAAAGCTATTCCTAACCGGCCATTTTGCCAGCCACCCAGTAATTAATCTGAATTTCTTAAGAACAATCTGAATGTAAGCAGTGATGAATGCTGACATTAGCTTAAACCTGTTCATTCTAGAGTATGACAGAAAAAAACAGTACAGTCAGAAGACCTGCCTTCCAACCCTTCTAATTTCTAATGTGGTTTAGGACAAATCCATCACCTTGATTTGTCATCTAAAAAGGTGAGAATGCCTACAAACCTATCTTAATCATACAGTAAGGAAAGAATGGTATTAGAAATATTACCATAAATTAGAAAAAGTGTTTATTGTAGTGTCTAAAGTTTATACATAGAAAGCCATAGAAAAATCTTAACTTTAGAAATGCTCTTCTTTTCTGACTAAAATAACAATAGCTACCATTTGAATCTTACTATGTTCTATTACTTACTACTCTTGGTATATTTAAAGTATTATTCTATTTAACTTCACGATCCCCTGAGATAGGTACAGATGAAGAAACTATGATACAGAGAAGTTACCTGCTTAAGGTCACTTAGCAAGGGTCCAAGGAATGGGACTCCATTACCTAAGTTCTTAACTGTCTGATGCCTCTGTTCTGTTCTTTTCTTTCTTTCTTTTTGAGATGGTGTCTTCCTTTGTCAACCCAGGCTGGAGTGCAATGGTGTGATCTTAGCTCACTGCAACCTCCACCTCCCGGGTTCAAGCAATTCTCCTGCCTCAGCCTTCTGAGTAGTTGGGATTACAGGCACACGCTATCACCCTCAGCTAATTTTTTGTATTTTTAGTAGAGATGGGGTTTAACTATGTTGGCCAGGCTGGTGTCAAACTCCTGACATCAGATGATGCACCTGCCTCAGCCTCCCAAAGTGCTGGTATTACAGGCGTAAGTCACTGTGCCTGGCCTGTATCCAGTGTTCTAACAGCATCCCCATAACATCCATTTTACAAAACCTGGAAAATCCATCATCCATTTGGAAATGTAGGTGCCTTTAACCATATCTGATTCTAGCCTGCTAATTCATCTCAAAAAAAATACTTATGTATAATGCTCCTAGCAGGTTATTACATCACTTTTTCTAGTTTGGGCAAAAGGATTTCCTGCTACTGCCAAGTATATAGGCTCTGTCTACTCTGACTTAAGTTACTGCTATCAGTCTTGCTGATTAATGTCTCATTCTTTTCAGAATAGATTTTTTTTTAAATACTTAACAGCCTCAACCCTCACATTGAACTTTTCTTCCACAAAAGCCCTTGGAGAGAAAAAAAAACACAAGGAGTCTCCTGACCAATGAAACAACCTAAAATAGGACTATAAAGGCATGAAAGTTCATATTCTCCTTAGAGTATATACTGTACTACCTTGAAACAGCTCAGATGACTGGATCCTACACAGTAGCTGAGGAGAGTACAAAATTTTAAGAAAATATTTCTTAAGTTTTATACTCTCAGAGACTGTGAGGTTAAAAAAGAAATTGTAGAGTGTGATTAATATGCTAATGAAAATGGCAGCTATAATTGAGTTGTTGTACAAAGAGAGATGATACAAATTTGAAATATTATCCTAGAAAGATGATAATCCCTAGGTCCTAAACTACATTTTGATCAGTTTTAACATGGTATATGTAACTATGTTCAATTGGCATCTATATTTCAGAGATAGAATTCATAGACACCATATTAGATTTCAGAACTATGTACTAAGGAGTTTAAGCAAAAATTCTCCAATTCTGGATTGCTTTGTTAGTATTAGAATACTAGAATTCAAGGTATCTTAGATATCACTGAGACTAACCACTTTACAAAGTATACAACTGTCCCAGAAAAATAATGACTTGTAAATATCAATTATTCAAGTAAAGCAGAATTTGGACTAGAATTCCGGTTCCCAGACTTCTTGTTCATGGCTATTCATGAATTTATGCTATCTTAAACATACCCCTTTACCAAAGTTAAAGTAAGATTACAAGGACACTTAAGTTTTAAAAGTTTTATTTAAAACAAATTAGATGAAACATTCCATGAAGTTAAGTTAGATTCTGATTTTGTTTGTGAAGGTGGAAAGAAGAAAATGCTTATTTTAAATTCCCTTACTTTACCACTAATTTGCTCAACCATCCAAGTCATTAAGCACTGACCACATATGTAACGGTGCTATGTGAAGAGAATGCAAAATTTCTTTCAAAATAAATATAAAACAGTGGCTGATCTATAGCAGTATGTAGTATAGAAGGGGAAGACAGACATAGATGGTATATCCAAAGATATATGGTACTTTCTACACATTCGGTCAGACTTGGAACACCGTAATTTTTCCATAAGGTATAAGTTATTCAGAGTTCATTTTAACTAACTTTGATAGGTATTAAATGTAATTAAATCTTGGTATATGCAAATTATAAAGACAGGATTATATTTAGTTGTTTCATTCCTATGAGGAGGAGGAAGAGGAGGAGAAGAAAATAACCCACGGTTTGATCCACAAAAGTTTTGCTTAGCTTATTCAGTATTAGCCTACAGTATTTTAAACATGCTTGAAAATCCTCTGTCATTATTTAAAAAGTAGATTTTTCATTTTAAGAAACCCAAATTTCCGATTTCTCTTGAAAAATCAGATGATTTGACAATGTAATCTCACAGCTAGAACTGAATTAAGGTTTGTCTTCTTTCTTTTTATTTCATTGCACTTTAGGTTTTGGGGTACATGTGAAGAACATGCAAGATTGTTGCATAGGTACACATGTGGCAGTGTGATTTGCTGCCTTCCTCCCCATCACCTGTATCTGGCATTTCTCCCTATGCTATCTCTCCCCAACTCCCCAGCCACCACTGACCCTCCTTTAAACATGTACTTTCCGGTTCACCACAATCACCAACACTCCCTATTCTCTCTCAGATGGTTATAGAATTCAGGTCTCTCTAGGCATTTGGTTTTGGGACTCTTGTTTTAAAGCAAGCTTTTTTTTTTTTTTTAATGGAAGAGGTAGATAAGTGGAAAAAGAGAAGAAAGAAAAGGGTAGAGCAAATTCTGCTGTGAAATTACATATCCAGGGATTCCTCCCTACTATGCTATTTGGGATATGGTGAACAAGAACTTCATTCAGTATTTACTGAACACCCAATACACATCAGATGTTAAATTAGGCACTAGGGATACAGCAAGAACAGACTTAGTCCTTACTCCTATAGTGCTTACCAATTTAGTAAGCTCACACAAAGAAGTCACACAAATATAAAATTCTGACTGTGCAAATGATATGAAGAGGAGCAGCGTAATGCTCTACTAGTCTATAATTTTGGAATCTAACTTTAGTTGGATGAAGGCTTCCCTGAAGAAGCACTGCCCTGGAGTTGACAGTTAACTAAGCAGAGGAGGAGGAAAGAACATTCTAAGTAGCAAGAAAAGAATATGGAATGGCTCTGTAGCAAATGGAATATAGCAAGTACAAAGGAATAACATTTATGTGGCTGGAATGGTGAGATGAGGAGCATAGTTTGAGATTAGGCTGGAACCATGAAATGCCTGGTATTAAATATAAAACTCTCTTTATTCTAATGAGTAACTAGAGCCAATGGAGGAATCTAAGGGTGGGGCTTTTATAATAGATTTTTGTTTCAAAAAACTCTGGTAACACTATGGAGAATGGGCCTGTGGGGGCCAGAGTTTACAGACACATCAATTAGAAGGGTAACTGCCATGGACTAGGCAATAGATGCTAGTAGCCCGGACCGGGCATTTTGAAGGGGAGAAGTGAATGAACTTAAGAGAGGTTAGGAGGTAACAGGATTTGGTGATTGAGTGAAGGTGAGGAATGAGGGACAAAGCAATATGAAGAATGGCTCATAGGTTTCTGAATTACATAAATAACTGGATGGCAATCCTAGGCAATGAAATGGGGAATAAAAGAGGAGAACCAAGTTTTCTGTGTGTGTGTGTGTGTGAGTTGGGGTCTGGCTCTGTCACCCAGGCTGGAGTATAGTGGCACAAACATTGCTTACTGCAGCCTCAAACTCCTGGGCTCAAGTGATGCTGCCACCTTGGCCTCCCAAGTCACTGTACTGTGACTGCTTCAAGAACCAGGTTTTGATGGAGACAGGTGTAGGGTGGGACAAGAGGAGGAAAGATCATGAGCTCACTTTGGGACATGTTGAATCTGAGTGCATCAGATATCACGACGATATCAAATCAGTGTAGAATCTACGGAGTCAGAACTCAAGAGTAGTGTGGGTGACGATCAGAGATAAATTTGTGATTCATTAAGTGGCATGATGTCACAAAAGTGGATGTGATCACTTGGAAAGAGGGGATCTAGGCTTAAGTGTTTTGAAATCACAACCTCTCTGATGGCAAGACAAGAGTATGAGCTTATAAAGAAGCTAACAAGGTAACAAAAAATTCAAGAGTATGCTATTCAGTGTGCTAGCCAGTGGAAAAGTGTTAAGGGGAAAGATACAGGGGAGTCAATTGCTGCTGAGAGGTTAATTTGAATGAACACTGAAAAATGTCTAATGAACTTGTTGACATGAAGGTCATTGTGAGCCATAGGCAACAACTATTTTGCAGAGCGACGGGGGAAAGGCAGATGAGAGTGGCTTGAGAAGTGAGAAAATGGTGATACATGCATGGTCAACTCTGAAAGAAGTCTGATTATGAAGAAAGGCATTAGGTAGCTTTTGGCTTTATCAAGCCTCTTTGTTTTTTCTGTTTTATAAGTGTCAAGATTCATCTCCTTTGGATTTATCCTGTTCTTTTTCTAACACAAATTAGATGATTAGCTTATTAAATTTCAGTTTTTTTCTAATGTAAACATTTAAGGTTCTAAATTTACTTCTGCAAGCCAACCTAGCTGCAGAATTCAAGTTCTGATATATAGTCTTTTTATTAGCATATAGTATTTCTAAAATGTCATTGCAATTTCTTCCTTTATCCATGTGTTAATAATGGTTTTAAAAATTTCTAAACGAACCTTCATAAGTTGTTTTTTGTTTGCTGTTTTTTTAAGAGACAGGGTTTCGATATATTGCCTAGGATTGGACTCAATTTCCTGGGCTCAAGTGATACTCCCGCCTCAGCCTCCTGAGTATCTCAGACTATAGGCACATGCCACTACACCCAGCTTTACAAGTTATTTTTTGTTACTGATTTCTGGCTTGTCGTTTTAGGGGTGTGAGAATGTAGACTATGAAATCCAAATTGTATAAAATTTAATAGCTAACAATCAACAGTACCTACTATGTCCCAAACATTTTGTATGAAGTATGTATTTTAATTTTCACAATAATTGTATGAGGCAGGTATTATTATTCTGATTCTTATAAGCAGGAAAATAGGCACAGAAAAGGTAAATAATTTACGCAAGCAAATTAACCAAGTTACACAGAGCTGATAAATGATGGAGATGCACGTTGCGTATTTCTTCCCTGCTTAAGCTTTTATTCTTGGAGTAAATTGCAAAGCCCTGAACTTTTTTTAATCCACTTCATTGAAATATAATTTATGTAGAATACACTGCATACATTTAAGGTGTACAATTCAGAGTTTTGAGAAAGCTTCACAACCTTTGAAACTATCACAGCAATCAAATACAGAATATTACCCCACTCATCCTGCCCCTTTTGTAAGTCGTCCCTTCTGAGGCAGACCCCAGGAAACTAGTGATTTGCTTTCTGTGACCACAGGTTTGTACTTCCTAAAATTTAATGTAAATGAAATGATACAGTGTGAGCTCCCTTTTCCCTGGCTTCCTTCAGAGCACACTGATTTTGAGACATCCATGTTGTTGTGTCAGTAGTTTGTTCCTTTGCTTTTACTACTGAGTACTATTCCTTTGTATGGGTATACTGTATTTTGTTCATTCATTCATTTCTGACGAACATTTGGGTTAGTTTAGAATTATTGTGAATGAAGCTATTATATACATCCATATTTAATTTTTATAGGAATATGTGCCTTCATTTCCCTTGGGTAAATATCTATAATGGCTAGATTTTTCTCCATAAGTTTTGAGACAGGGTCTTGCTATGCTGCCCAGGCTAGTCTTGAGCTGCTGGGCTCAAGTGATCCTCCTGCCTCAGTTTCCTGAGTAGCTGGGATTATAGGCCTGTGCCACCACACCTGGCTTCTGTAACGGCTAGATTTTATGACAGGCTTGTCTTACTTTTTTTTTTTTTTTTTTTTTATAACTGCTAAACTGTTTTCCAAAGTGGTTGTAAAACTTTACATTCCTATCATCAGTGTAGGAGTTCCAATTAATCCAAGTTCTAGCCAATAGTTGGCATGGTCAGTCTTTTAAATTTTAGTCCTCCTAGTCAATGTTTAGTGGTAGTTCATTGTTGAGTGTAATTTTCATTTTTCTAAAAACTAATGATCTTGAGCATCTCTTCATGTATTTCTTAGCTATGCATATATCTTTTGTGAAGTATCTGTTCAAACCATTTGCTTATTTTTACTAGACTTTCTCATTTAGTTATGAGTTCTTTATATATTTTGAATACATGTACTTTGTCAGATACATGTGCTACAAATACTGCCTCCCAGTCTGTGGCTTGCCTCTTCACTATCTGTTTTGCAAAAAATAAAAGTTTTAAATTTTGTTGATAAAGTCTCATTTGTCAATTTTGGTTCATGCTTTGTTTCCTACAAAACCTTTGCCTTCTTCAAGACATCTTCTCCCATCTTCTACAAATTTTAGCTTTTACAGTTAGGTCTATGATCTACATCGAGTACATTTTATAGTGTAAGGTAAGAATCAATGTTCATTTTTCCCACGTGAATATCCAATTATTTTGGAACTACTTGTTGAGGCAACTTTTTCCCACTAAATTACCTTGGCACTTTTGGGGGAAAAAAATCAGTTCACTATATATATGTGGGTCTAATTCTGGATTTTCTATCCTGCTCCATTGATCTATATGTCTATCTTTTCCCCAGTGTTACACTCTCTTGATGACTGTAGCTTTACAGTTACTCTTGAAGTAGTGTGATCCTTCAACTTTGTCCTTCTTTTACAAAATTGTTTCAGCTACACTAAGTCTCCTGTATGTCCATGCATATTTTAAAACCATCTTGTCAATAGCTACCAAGATAACCTGCAAAAATTTTAATAGGAATTGCATTAAATTTATAGGCCAAATTGAGGGAGAAATAACACCTTAAAAATAATGAGCTTTTCAGGGTATATTTTTTCCATTTACTGAGGCCTCTTTAATTTCTCTCAATAATGTTTTGTAGTTTTCCTTGTAGAGGTCTTACACATCTTTTATTTATTCCTAAGTATTTTACTTTTTTTGGCACTATTCCATGTAGAATTGTTTTTTGTTTTTTGAAACAGGGACTTGTTCTGTTGTCCAGGGTGGAGTTCAGTGGTGCAATCTTGGCTTACTGCATCCTTGACCTGCTGGACTCAAGTGATCCTCCCACGTGAGCCTCCCAAGTAGCTGGGATTACAGGCACACATCGCTGCACCTGGCTTTTTTGTAGAGATGAGGTTTCACTATCTTGCCCAGGCTGGTCTGAAACTTCTGAGCTCAGGCGATCCTCCTAACTTAGCCTCCTAAAGTAGTGAGATTACAAGCGTGAGCTACCATAACCTGCCAGTGGAATTTTTGTATTTCATTTTTCTGTTTTTCACTAGTATACAGTTATAGCCTGCAAGCTTAGATGTTACTTTCTGCAGTTATCTGTAGGATTTTTTTTTAACCTAAGAAATTGTGTCACTTACAAAGAGGCAATTTTACTTCTGTTTTTCTAATTTTTAAACCTTTTTTCCCCTTGTCTATTGCAAATAGCTAAGACCCCCAGCACAATGTTATGAAGTACTTTGTTCTTGTTCTAGGTAATATGCTGTCAATCTATCTTAAACATCAGCTACAGACTTTTTGAAGACGCTTTTTATTAGACTGAAAAATGTCCCCTCGTTTACTAAAATTTAAAAAATCATCTATTGTTGAATTTTGTCAAATTCGTTCTGCATCTATTGAGATGTTCATATGATTTTCTCCTTTACACTACACATATGGCATTTATCATGCTGATTTTTGAACATTAAACTGATGTTACACTCCTGGGATAAAACCTATTTGGTCATGAGGTAATATCCCTTTTATATATTAGACTTGCTAAAGATTTTTGCATCCATGTTGATGAGAGATATTTTATTTTTCATAGTGTGTTTGTCTGATTTTGGTATCAAGCAGTTCTCACAGTCATCCTATGGGGTAGGCATCTTTATCATCCAGTTTTAGAAATGAGGTGTTAGGCACAGAGTAGTTCATTTACTTGCCCAAAGTCTCACAGCTGGTAAATGGATGCATTTTTCATCATTATGTCTCTTTGCCTCTAATTTATTGTGTTGCTACTATGTGGTCAATTTCTAAAAATGTTCCGAGTGTTAATAAAAAGTATACTTTGTTGGATATGTCCTATAATTGACCATTTTGGGGTATTTTCTTATTGGTCTATATCCTTGATTTTGTGTGCTTGAACAATGATATATGTTAAAATTTCCAATAAAACATTGGAAACTTTAAAAAACAGGTACAATGTACACTGTACCTCATGTGTAGGTTTTCTCTTTGAAGTTCTATTAATTTTTGCTTTCCTTTTGTTAGTATGGCACAGCATACCATTTTTCTGTGTTTTCACTCTTATCCTTTATGCAGCTGTATTAGGAGTATCTCTAGTAAACAGCATATAGCTGAATTTGTTTCATAACGAAGTATGACACATTTTCTTTATGCTGAAGTATTAACTTCATGACATCGACCAGACTAACGTTTATACTATATTGATTTGGTCTTTCTCAATTTTTTTTTTAGTTGTTACATTGTGGTGGCCAAGTTCTAACCTCATCCTAGCACCCACTATTTTTATCTCTACCAACCCCAAATTTGAAAGTTACGTATTTTTTCTTTTGAAAGGCATATTCAGCCTGAAGTTTAGTCAACATGTTTACACTCCTCCAAACAGCCCTAGGACCTTAAAATGCTTTAACTCCATTACTACAGCCTCCTGATTTATATGCTATCACACAGGATTTTGGTTCTCAATTTTTTTTATTCCTATAGGTTAGAAATTTTCATACCTATATGTTTGTAATTATCTACTTATGTAACATTTTTCTTTGCTTAACATTCCTTCCTGTATTTCAGACCTTTCTGACATTACTCCATTATTATTTATTTCGCTAAGTTTTTGGGGGAACAAGTGATGTTTGGTTACACAGATATGTTCTTTAGTTGTGATTTCTCAGATTTTGGTATATCTATCACCTGAGCAGTATACACCGTATCCCATATGTAGTCTTTTATCCCTCATCTGTCCCATCCTTCCCCCAATGTCCATTGTGTCATTCTTATGCCCTTTCATCCTCATAGCTTAGCTCCCCTCTTACGAGTGAGAAAGCACTATGTTTGGTTTTCAATTCCTGAGTTATTACACTTAGAATAGTGGCCTCCAACTCCATCCAGGTAGCTACGAATGCCATTATTTCATTCCTTTTTATGGCTGAGTAGTCTTCTATGGGGGTGTGTGTGTGTTCCATGTTCCTGCAATTGCAAATGGTACTCCTATAAATACGTGTGTGCAAGTCTTTTATTTATAATGACATACATCTTTCAGATTATTTGGTGTGAGGATTAGTGAATAGCTGTTTTTCTCTCTCCATGTTTTTACTTCACTCCATTGTTAACAATTTCATTACGGGTAGAATTTTACATTACAGGTTACTTTCTCTCAGCATTTTGAAGATGTTTTACCGTCTTCTGGATTCCTTAGTTGTTAAACACTAACATTCACTTTTTATTCTTTTGTCAGTAATATCTTCTGTCGATCTGCTTTAAAAATATTGTTTTTAGGGCCGGGCGCGGTGGCTCAAGCCTGTAATCCCAGCACTTTGGGAGGCCGAGGCGGGTGGATCACGAGGGCAAGAGATTGAGACCATCCTGGTCAACATGGTGAAACCCCGTCTCTACTAAAAATACAAAAAATTAGCTGGGCATGGTGGCACGTGCCTGTAATCCCAGCTACTCAGGAGGCTGAGGCAGGAGAATTGCCTGAACCCAGGAGGCGGAGGTTGCGGTGAGCCGAGATCGTGCCATTGCACTCCAGCCTGGGTAACATGAGTGAAACTCCGTCTTTAAAAAAAAAAAAAAAAAATATTGTTTTTAGTGTTTTGAAGCTTTCCTTTAAATGTGTTTTCACAAAGCCCACCTTGGATATGTTGGGGTTTCTGAATCTGAAACTTGGGTGTCTTTCATAAATTTGGGTAAACTCTCATTTTTCCTTTGAATAATTTCTCTAAAATTTCGATTACACATATGTCGGGCCAGCTCATTATATTCTCATTCTCTCTTCACCCATTGGTTGTATGTTCCATCTTGTATTTCTCAGGGCTATATTCTGAGTGATTTTTTTTCCTGAGATCTTCTAGTTAACAAATTTCTTTTTAACTGTATTTAATCTGTTTAATCATCTATTTCAGATTTTATTTTCATTAAAAATGATTTCCAAATGTGCCAATTTTAAGTTTTACATTTCAAGTGTTTAATTCATAAGTGAATAATTATTTTATACTATGCATTTGATAATTCTGATATCTGCAATTTTTACAGGTGTGATTTTTTATTCTGAACCCTTGTTTTGTGGAATTTATCTATCTGAAGTCTGGGTTTAAAGGACATTCCTCCAGGGATGCTTTCCATCTGCTTCCTGCAGGTCCTTGAGATTAGCATCAAGCAAGGACAACTTCATGTTTTCAAGTTAGACCTCTTGAACCCCCCCCACCCCCACAGCCACCTCCTCTCAATCACAGAAATGATGTGAATTTAGGCTTCAAATTTGTGCAAGAATAAGCTTGTTTTGCATTCCCACGGAAGACTTTTATTTCCCAATTTGTACCCCCTATCTTGCTCTGAGGGCCTGCTTATTTTCCTAGTTCATCTGCCGAAGGCATACACTTAAAGGATTCTGGCATTATGCTGGAGGGCATGGAGTCTTTTATCAGACCTCACTGCAAGGCATAGCCTGCAATACTTCCTCATACCCTCAATGAACAAAATTAAAATCTGTGCTGTAGGCTAACAGGAGGCAGCTGAAAACCACTCCTATCCTACCCTCAAGACACACATTTGTGTGGTATTTTATTCTGAATTTGCATTTTGGTGTTTTTTTTTTTTTTTTTTTTGGTAGTTTCTAGCCTTTCCTTGCCAACCCAAACATGCATTGAAGAAGACTACTCTCTGCAGCATTGTTAGGCATTTCTCTGAATGTCTGGTCAGCCAGATGACTCTGGCTTCTACTTCTTTAAACTAGGAGTCATATGCAGTGGTTGAAAGGAGGGGAGTTTGCTAGACAGTGAAAAATGTTTGCAACAGTTTGAAAATGGGAAAGCAAGTTAGAGAATCACTAAATAATAAAGAAGTGATGTATCCAGGAAAGTTCATGGTATAGGAAGAAATTACTTGATAAGACTTTACAGCACCTAAGCTATACAGTAGTCTCACATCTGATACATGTTAGCCATATAATCTTGGACAAATCACATCCCTTTTCGATCTATTTCACTGGAGTTGTGAAGATAAATGTTACAAAGTGCTTTGAAAATACCAGTTTCATAAAATACAGGCATTATAATCATGTCTTTTGTTACAGAAATGTATCTGAAACTTTTGCCTCACAGATGATTTCAGGAGAAATAAGATAGTGGAAAAAATTTAGTAAATTCAGACAAAAAGTTTATAATCAGTTATGGATAAAAGTAAAACACTGAACTAAACCACTGTTTCTGGTAAACAGTAACTGACTCAGGATATGAGACTTGTCTAACAGACTTTTCTATTTTGTAGAATTTGTTGAAACTAAATTAGCAAAGCCCCAATTAGTATGGGCCATTTGCCATGATATAAAAATAGTTTCATAAAGCAAAACTCTATTTTATGTGAAATCTTTTAGGCAGAAAATAGATTCCAGACAGTACATAATTTACCTCAAACGTTCATCAAAATAAAGTTAACTTCCACATATTAGATGGCTAAATATTTTCTAAATTTTGACCTTTTTAGTGTCATTCAATACCATAATCACCATTGTTCTGATTGCTAGAGATAAAAATATGTAAAACAACTTCTTATCCTCAAGAAATTTCTATTTTAGGTGGTAGAAGTGTGATTTCCACTTTTGTGGGAAATCACAGAACATAACAAAATCAATCAACCTGTAAGTTGACTTGCATGTTAAAGTATTACCAATATTTGAAAGAATGTATCTACTGGCAGGGACAATAATAGCATCCACAAATGTAAGTGTTAAGATTTTGAATTTAATTTTCCTAGCTGTTTTGGCATTGTGATCGAGTCACTGTACTTTATTCTGATTAAGCAACTGGCACTCATAAGACCAAATTGCAAGTAAAAACTTCAATATGTTGAAGATGAACTTATTGATTTTTGGCATGCATCACAACACTCCAAGATGGTATACCATCAACTCTCATTTTTTAAAAAAAATTTAGATTCAGGAGGCTCATGTGCAGGTTTGTTACCTGGATATGCTGTGATGCTGTTAACGCTCCTTTTAAGCTCCTTCAACATGTTCTAATGGTAGATAGAATCGGTTTATCAGACAGTCTGTTTTAAACACAGTATTTAAGTCTTCTCTGGTAAACGTCCAGGAGTGTGAACCCTTCTCTGGTAAAGCTCATGTCCTACTGATACTGCCAGAAGTTCAACATGTGTTTTTAGATTAGTGTACAAGGTTTGGTTTTTCCCTCTTAACTATTGGCTTCCAGGAGGTTAAGTATGAGACACTGAGAAGCTTAATTGTTTAAAAAAGGGCTACATTAGTCATCTCAATTCCATTCAAGTGCAGATGCCAAAAAAAAAAAGAAAAAAAAAAGGTGTTTTAGGCAATTAACTTTTCAAAAACAAAATGAGTTTTAGAATATCTACCAAAACTATTCAAAGTAGTATTAGTTTGTTTTACTAACTTTTTATACTGATCCATGGTTCTTTATAATTAAGTCCTTAAAGTTACTCTTGCTGAGAATCAGAAAAATCAAATGCTTTAAACAAGTGAAAAGTAATACGGAACTGGTATTTAATATAGCATATGGTAAACACGGGGTGAGTTGGTAATCAAGTTACACAACTACTCAAAAAAGATATAGGGGCTTTCAGTTAAAAAAAAAATAAGCATCAGTTAAGTCTTATATTTGTCACCACATAGGCTTTCCCTACCACTTTGCTATAATATGAAGAACTCACTAGGAAAAACTTCATTAATTCAGAATGACCAATGGGAAGTATACTTCCAGTTGCATGGAATTGATACAAAAATGTGAACTCAAATACTCTCTTAAATATAAGTTCCTGGTGATTTTATCTAATGAAAAGAGAAATGATTTCTGGTTAAGAGATCTCCTTTCAAAAAATTGACAATTTGTTCTTTTAAGCACAATGGTGTCCTAAAATTGTTAATTCGATTATAAAAAGATGAGGATAGACAAACAACTCACACCTTTTTAAGTAGACATTACAAAGGAAAAAACCTTTATCCCAGCTTCTTTTCCAAATTATATTTTCCAGGTTAATAGAGTTTTATCATCACACAAACGAGATTCATTTAACAGAAAGACTTTTAGATTTTAAATTCTTCCTCACTAGCTTGGAATATTACCTCAAAAGTGTGAAGACCCAATCTAGATTCTCTATTTTATGCTACATAAGCCTATCTTCAGAATTTTAAGCTTAAATATGGATCCTTTTTTGTGATGTGTTTACCCACTTTGTGTTTACCTGGGGGAGCTACTGACTGGGAGAGGGTAACAAGGGAACCTTCTGCGACACTGAAAATGCTTTATATGTTAATCTGGGTGGTGGTAACACGGGTGTATACAAAAGTAAAATTTCATCTAGCTGCGCATTTAAGATTGTGGACTTTATGGTATACGTTATACCTCTAGAAGTAAAAGGAGTGTTTACCCACTTTATGAAATGCCTATCAACTATTTTTTACAGTGAATCATTCATATGATTTTGTAAATCAAGATGTATACGAAAAAAAGTCATCTGATGCTCCTCGCATAAGGATTGCTAGTCACTTTCAGGTAAACAACTGAAGCTAGAGTAGAGGCTTCAGTGTTGAGAAGGCACTAACACACTATCTGAAATGGTGGCAGGAAGATTATATCAATTTAAGTATAAAGGGTAGCAGTGTTATAGCACTTTAAACAACAACTAGAACATCCCCAAATAAGTTACACGGCTATGGCGTCATCATTTGATTTGCGATAACCTACGCTTCTTATTTCTGCTTACGGTTTGGGTTTCTGTCTTTGTATTGCTTGGACTTTCAAAGAAAGGAGAAAGAAAAGAATAAAAGTTAAATTAGTATTGTTGTTTTTAGTGTGCTAAACAGTTGACATTACGACTGATTTTAAAATTATGCATTCTACTTCCTATGTATTAAAGGAGAAAAGAGGTGGTTTATCCAGAAAATATAAACATTTAACATACATCTTTTTTTTCTTTTTTTTACTTTTGCTTGGAACTACATTATCATTACCTCAAAAAAAAAAAAAAAAAGCCTTTGAGAGGATTAGCTGCATAGGCCAATATTATTCTATATTAGTCTGTATTAAGCGTATGACGTCACCTTGCTGCCTCCCCTTCTCAAGCTTTTCTTTTGGGTGGAAGGAGGACTTTTTTGGGGGAAAATCTTAAAATATTGTGGCTTAAATACCACAAGCTGACACACGATTGACAACCTTACACTCCCAAACCTGTTTGAAATGGGTCAAACACCTAAGCGCTGCAGAACAATGCAATCCAACCCGCAATTCCCCATAAAAGAGAAAGGGGGTGTGATTAGGTTCCAGATATTAAGCAAGTTATTGCAAAAACAGTTTGATGGTTTTGTTTCTGCAATAGACACAGGTTGAGCTAGTATTTTTTTCCCCTTAATTAGCTCCAAAAAAGACTATGCTATAGGAGGTAGGATAAACCGCTAAAGCAGGAAGCAACTGGAGCAAACATTAAGGGCTTTATGGAGGTCCTTATCCTGATCCTCTGCATTGGTTATTGATCATCAACCCTGCTGGGGAACTATCGAACGGAATTTGTGTGAGGCTTATCGAGCCACAGGAAAGGAGATGCAGGAGGGAATATAAGCTTCTAATAAAAGAAACGCAGCAACAATAGCAGAGGAACAGCTCTGCCTGGTGACGTAATGGCTGGCAGCAGTCCAGCTTCAGTAGAGCTGCTGCTACCTCAGCACCCAACCTCCCTCAACACAGTCCGGCTTCGGCAGAGCCACCGGGGCTGCTACTTTTTGCGAAGCCACTTTGTTGATGCCACCAACGCCTTACCTCGGAGGACCAGAACACGGAACAAAGGGTTCCTTCCGTTACTGTTTTAAGTTGTTTGACACACACACTCTCACCCCCTAGCCCCGGACCCCTCAGTAACCGAGCCAATCAGTCGCTTAAGTTTAGGGGGAAAACGCCGGCTCACACTCCAGGTGTGCCTCAGTTTCCCCCGGCTGGTTTCGAGTACGCCTCTCATTGCCCACCCGCCGCCCCCGCCGGTCCTCAGCGGGAGTTGATCCGGGCGGCCCCGTGCACCCGCCCGGGCCCTGCATGCCGGCCCTCCCGCCTTACCTCCGCCAGGTAGAGGTTGAGGAGACAGAGCGTGGAGAACTGCAGACAGGAGGGGAAGCAGTAGAGCAGCCAGTGGGGGAAGAAGTGCAGGTGAGCGGGCGGCCGGAGCAAGGGCAGGGAGCCGCTGAGCGAGAAGGCGGCGGAGAAGAGGGTGGTCCTGAGCGCTGCCCACAGGAGACAGAGGAAGAGGCAGAGGCTCTGGTAACTCAGCCGCCGCTCGCGGTACAGGAGCAGCCGCCACAGCTGCAGGTAAGCAAAGGCGAAGAGCGCGGCGTAGAGCAGGGCGTGCAGGACGCTCAGCGCCAACTGCACGGAGCCCGGCACCGCGGCGCCTGAGGCGGCAGCTACGGCGCCTCCGCCTCCGCCGCCCCCACCGGGCGTGGAGGGCTCGCGGCCGGCCGCGGGGGCGGCAGCGGCCGCCGGACCCGGCACTGACACCCTCATCGAGGGGCTGAGGGTCAGGCGAGCGAGCGCGGGAAGGAAGGGGCTGGACTCGGAGCCGCCGTCGAGGGGGAGAAGGACTGCCCCCTTACCCCCCACCCACCCCAACCTCTAACCCCAGGAAGCGCCGTGACGGGACCCGGAGTCCCGCGCTGAGCAGCCGCGGCTCCCCCTCGACCCCGCCTCCTCTTTCCCCCACCCCCCAGGGCTCTCGGCTCCGGCAGCGGCTCGGCTCCGTAGCTGCAAAAAACAACTCTCGGCTGGAGACAATCAGCTGAGAAACCCGAGCATTTGAGGCGCTCGCTCCGCACTGTGGGCTCGCGCCGATTGGCCCAGGCGGGCACGCCCCCCGAGCGCCGCACTCGGAAGGCCACTGGCCGCAGGACCCGTCGCTCGATGGCCCCGAGATCTGACTGGGCACCTACTTTTCCTACTTTCTCCCTCCCCTTTACTTCCCACCCGCGCTGCTCATTGGCCCAGCTACTGCACCGCCCGTTCGCGCCGGCGGGAGGACTCTGTAATCGTCTGTCACTCTCGCTCCGCCCCCGGCGCTTCCCATTGGTTAGAGTCCCTCGCGTAGGGAGCACGAGGAGAAGGAGGAGCTTCGAGGTTTGTTTTTTGCTCTAGAGGCCGCCTCTGCCGAGCGGGTGGTGGCCGCGGGCTGGGTGGGAGCGGTGCCGCGCCTTCGCAGGTAGGCGAAGTGGTTCCTTGCTGCCGGGCTAGCCTGGCACGGCCTCGCCTTCTGCCTCCCCCGTCGCGTCGCGGCGGGAACTGTTGGCCGCGCGGCCTCGGAAATGACCCGGGTCCCCGCCCTCAGATCCTGGGCAGGTAGGTGACAGCGCGGGTCTTTCAGGCTGTGGGCTCCGCCCGCAGACCCGGGGGTTCAGACGAAGCAGTTTTCTGTAGCAGGGCTGTACTGCAGAGCTCTGGAGTCTGACTTAGGACATCCGCCTCTGGGGCATCGAAGGGCCTCACCTGGAGCTTTCTGAGGGAGTTTTACCTTCTCTTTTCGCTGCGTGAAGGGCGGGAAACACTGGAGCCCTTTCTGGGTCGAGGGGATGGAAACGGGCGACAAGGAGATCCGGAGCTCTTAAGTGAAAGACCCTTTCCTCCCAAGGGAAATGTCTCTTAAGGAAGAATGGTAGTAGTATCAGATGGATGTTGAAGCGATCTGTGACCAAGGGGAAGCTGGTTCTTTGAAACTTAGAATTTGGGAGGATGCTCTGGGCTTAGAGACTTGTAAGTCTGACGATTGCCTGGAAAGGAAAAATATTCTGTGCTGTTTAAATTCCACGTATATTGAAGCCTTGGACCTGTGTATGGTAGACGGTGGCGCTATTCCTGGGGCTGAGAGAGAAAAATATATGCTATGTTACTGCTGTGAAGAAGCGAGGAATAAACAGATTGACTAATGTATATTGGACCAGCACATAGTTGTTGACTGCTTTTCTTCCCTGTTTGGGAATAAAATTAGCAAATAGTGCAAAATTAGGAGGAAATAATTTGTTTTCTTTAGAATATACAGCACATTACGAATTCAGTATCCGTTGAAAGACATTCATTGCTTGGAGCCACCAAGACCCAGCTTTTCTTACCTCACCATCCTTTGTCCTATGCTTTTTTTTTTTTCTTTTTTCATGCAGGGTCTCGCTCTGTCACCCAGCCTGTAGTGACAGCTCACTGCAAACCTCGACCTCCTAGGCTCAAGCAATCCTCCCACCTCAGCTTCCCAAGTAACTGGGACTCCAGGCACGCGCCACCGTGCCCGCCTAATTTTTTTTTTTTTTTTCCCGATATGTTGTCCAGGCTGCCTTTGTCCTATGCTTTGCCCAAGAAGAGTGTTGCTCTCTTTTTTCCTGGCTAAGTATTCCACAGGGAACTTTAAAGTCCATTTCGTACTCTAGATTCTGAGACAGTAGTTTGTCCAGGTACCAGATGCTAGTGTGATTTGGGTTCCTTATAGGTATGCTGACAAACTGTGGTAGATATACAGGCCTGGCACTGTTACATAGACATCCCTCAGATGAAACATTCAGCTGAGCAGGTAGAGAGTGCAGTGTACCGGAGGGTACGGCTTGCTCTAAGAAGTTAACAGGCCGAATCCAACATTTATCATTTGGAGAAGGATTTATTTTTATTGGAACCTAAGAACTTCATCTCATGTATTTTTAGAGAATGTGGTCAGGGCAGTACACAGTTTTCTTCAAATAGGAGACAGGATGCTCATGACTGCAGTGAGGTAATTGATTACAGTAATGTGCTGAAGCATTTAAATTAAGCATAAAATCAGAGTTCTGTGATTTTAGGCACTTGTCAAAATCAAGTGTGCCACATATTCTCTGGCATGGCCTATTTGCATCTTCTTTATCATTGAGGTGCACATTTCAAGTCATCAGTAGACTTTTATTACAAAAGCATTTTTCTTTTTCTCCTTTATTCTCTTCTTAAAGTGATAGTAAACATCTGGATAGTACCCATATTAATTTTAGGTCTTTGCCTGTGAGACTTACCTACCACCTGCCATTGGTCAGTAAGAGCAAGTCTGGATAGCCTCCTCCTTTCTGCTTTTTCTGGGGATGAGAGTATGTCTGGTGGGGTGGGGAGTGAGGGTGCACATAGAGGATTTTCCTCCTAACTGCTTTGAAAAGGCTCTAAAGGGGAGAGTTGTTGACTCCTTTTATTGCCTCTTTGGGTCTGAAATGATAAACTGTGTTGAGATCCAATCAACATTTTATTTGAGACTGGTTCAGTGAGCAGGTTCTGTTCTCCAGTAGCAGCATTAAACTGTAAGTAAGCTGACTTCAGACAGAATGTTCTTACGGGAACTTTGTAAGCATTATATGCTCCATTTGTTGCAAAATATGAAGTGTTTCTTTTTCCTGAGTATGATGCCCACAGATGTTGATACAATTTATTTAATAGTTATGGTTGTTAATTTCCTCTTTTTCCTGAGAGGGAAAGCTGTTAAATTTATGGTTCATAAGGGAATATTAGGCCTATAAAGGGGGAACTAACCAAGGGTTTCCTGCAAAAGCTTGGTGTCAGCTATTCTAAAATTTAAACGTGTCCAAACGCATAAAGATTTAATATTGTTGTTCCAAGAGGATAGATGACCCTAGCACAGTAGTCTTTCAAACATCTAAAAACAGAACTGTTTGTCAATTACTATTGTATACAGTACCCTATACCAAAATGGGATTGATGGAGCTAATGAGGGCTACCAGCTTTTCTACCTGCCTAAGGAATACAAAGGCAAATCCTCATACTGTTTCCTTACTACCAAGAAGACTAGTGTTTTCTCTTGAAGTACTTCCTTCTTGATGTGCTTTGGAGCTTAATATTTGGATGCTGAACAAAACACATTTTTGTTGCCTTGAGCATTTTATGTGCACGCTTTAGCCCTTTTCTACTGTTATCTCACCAAGCCATTCTTACTGTGCTGTTACCCTCTTGTATTAGTCCTTAGTTACATGTCACTCATTCTTTCTATTATTTAAATGAGCTGTGCAAACATACTTATTTAGAGTTAAGGGATGAGACAAAAGTTACATGTTATATGCCAACTCTGATCCATACCAGCAGGAACGTTATACTGAAGAATTGAGAGCCTCTTCCAACCCAAAGGGTCAATGTCTACATGTAGTTGGGAGGTGTATCCGTAGTATTGGCAGACATTCTATAGTTATGGAAAACATTTACCTATGAATTTTCCCCTCTTTTGGTATTGGCATCTGTTGTGGTAATAGTCAATTGCATTTTAAAGAGTCATCTTCTTTAGAATTTTCCTACAGTGGAATTGGGTCAATTTCCTATGAATTCTTTGAAATATCTTGCTTTAAAATCTAGGATATAGATTTTATGTTCAAGTCATAGTCCTTTTACCCATTGCTAAGACCAGGTGTACTAATAGTGCTAAACGGCCGGGCGCGGTGGCTCAAGCCTGCAATCCCAGCACTTTGGGAGGCCGAGGCGGGTGGATCACGAGGTCAAGAGATCGAGACCATGCTGGTCAACATGGTGAAACCCCGTCTCTACTAAAACTACAAAAAATTAGCTGGGCATGGTGGCGCGTGCCTGTAATCCCAGCTACTTGGGAGGCTGAGGCAGGAGAATTGCCTGAACCCAGGAGGCAGAGGTTGCGGTGAGCCGAGATCGCGCCATTGCACTCTAGCCTGGGTAACATGAGTGAAACTCCGTCTCAAAAAAAAAAAAAAAAAAAAGTGCTAAACTAGGTTATATTGTGGAAACAACCCCGAAACCTGAGGAGTTTAAAATAATTTATTTTATTTTTTATTATTATTTTTTTCTGAGACAGAGTTTCACTCTTGTTGCCCAGGCTGGATTGCAGTGGTGCTATCTTGGCTCACTGCAACCCCTGCCTCCTGGGTTCAAGCAATTCTCTTGCCTCAGCCTCTCAAGTGACTGAGATTACAGGCTCTTGCCACCATGCCCAACTAATTTTTTGTATTTTTAGTAGAAACAGGGTTTCATCATGTTGGCCAGGCTGGTATCGAACTCCTGACCTCAGGTGACCCACCTGCCTCAGCCTCCCAAAGTGCTGGGGTTATAGGCATGAGCCACCATGCCAGGCCTAAGAGTTTGTTTTATAGTCACACTGGATCAGCTGGGAGCTTTCCCCATGTTGTTCCCTTTCTGGGACTTGGGCTGACAGAAAAGGCCTAATTTTGAGTGTTATCAGTCACATGGCAGAGGGAAAATGTGTTGTGATTCATTATACATGTATACTGACTCTTAAAGGCTTACAGAAGTACATGTCACCTTGCACGTTTCATTAACCAAATCAAGTCATGGCTATACCTAAGTCATGGAAGTGAGAGGTATAATTTTAACGTGCAGAGAACTAGAAACATTTGAACAGTCCTCTCTTGTCAACAAATACTTTCCTTCCTATATGTAGTTCATCCTTGGCTTTTCCTGGTGGCTATAATTCAAAATTTCCATCTTCACTGTGTGAAGCCTAAAGTTCAGAATCTCTGAGTAATGTCCAGCAGTGGTCATGTCTATACTGGTCTAGGTAGAATTTATTTGTTTCCCACCCCCTGTTGAATACATAAAGCAGTGTTGGGAGAGATGAGTTTAAGTGTTTTCATTTGGAGAGAGAAAACATGGAAGAGACACACCAGAATCTAGACCGTAGCAATCTACAGTTGAAATCTCTCTGGGCAGGTGTTTCTAGGGCTCTAGTTCTGTTCCCTGAGTTCTCTAGGCCAGTTTAAAGAACAACAGTAACCTAACACAATAGAAATGAATTACAGAAAAAGTGAAATAAAGAACATCAAATTACAA